TTGGTTCAAAAACATCACAATGGATGAATTGTTCTTGAAGGTAATAGTTAAAATTCTTTCTAGATCGCTCAAGGTAGTAGCTTATACAAAGGAATTTCTATGGTGAGAAAAATACGTTTAACAAAAGTTGGTATATCAATTAATATATGCCTTAGCTTCAATCGGGTCCGCTCCTCGTGGGTTACGGAGCAAAAATATACACACAATTAGCTAGCATTCGACTTCAACTCTCCGGCCGATGCAATTAATCGAAGCTCATTTCAGTTGATCGCAGGGCTGATGTCCTTTTTTCTGCAAGCGAAAGGCAGTGTCACAACTCTCCTGACCAAGAATTTCTCTAGTCCATGAGCCAGATCCATGCACTCGTGGCGGAACTTCTCTTGATTCCTTCCATTCCCAACTAGGATCTCAATCACACCAAGCATTTTTCGTTAGCTACGAACCGAACTTGAGCAGCAGATTGCTCTTTTAGTGCATCGATACCATTGTCACCATATATTGATGGATCAGACCCAGGCAAGACTGTGCGCATTCACTAAGTCGTTGTATATATACTGTATATTTAGAGAGAGAAAGACCGAAGAAGATCGATTGGTCGTACAGTGGGATGCACCTCTGTGCGGTACTTGAATATTTGAATCGGGATATATATATTAACCCTTATATTTTGTCATTTAGAACAAATCGTCAAAGACCATCAGTCCCATTTTTTCATAAAATGAAAAGGTTTTATACAGGTGGTTTCAAAGTGATCACAGACACGAAGGGCATAACTACGTACCAATCTATCTCGACAGCACATATGCAAAGTGCCTAAGATGTCTTCACGACGGATCTGTGTGTTGATGTTATCGGTGTGTGGGTGATGATATTTTTTTTCCTTCCTACAATCTTCTTCAAAATTTCCCAGTTTGTTCCGGTGAAAAAAATAAGCAATAACTTTTTTTTTTAATAATGGAATAGGCATCTCATGAATACCATATAACCGTATAGCTAATCATGTCGAGAATTTAATTACGGTTATCACGAGCCCAAACTCTAGCAACACATGCAGAACTATGCTCAATATGAACCCCCTACATATCTACAAAATCAGCCAACACAACCATTTTGTTACCATGCGGTTTGGATAAAAGTTCACAGAACTAGGCATTATAGATATCTATTAAAAACTTGTCAGTTATTAAGTGACCACAAAAGAAAAAAAAAACGGAGGACCCTAGAACCCCTAAATCTGGAGAAGTCAAACTTGAATTTCTGGTCTCTTAGCTTAACTCTCGATTACTCTTGCTATAAACTAGCACACAACTTAATTCCATGTATAGGATACTGACGAGAATCGTTATACATAGTAGTGGTTGCCAAGACAAGACCGTTGCAGCTATAAAACAGATATTTCTCCCAATGCCCTCCATTCTTAAAACTTTTCCTTCTTTCCTCATGTTTCTGAGCTCATATCTATCTAAAAATTCACACCATCCCATCCTTGCAGAATATATATTCACCGACCGACAGTACTCAAGAACATAGGTTGATTGATGAGCCGAGAGAGAAACGAAGAAAAGAATATATAGCTTGGGAACACAATTACATGGAGTCATCATATATGGATAATGGTAACATCGACTGTAAGTCATTAAAAGCCTGTCATCAATGGTTCCAACTAGTCGAATCCATAAAAATGAAGCAGAAAAAGTAAATAAAAAGAAAAAAAGAAGTACATTATCATTATTACTAGGATTGTGATATCTGTCTGATCGAAGTTTGAACATATTATTGAAAGGAAAGTAGCTAGGAGCTCTGCGACACATTAAAGGTAGAAATAGAGAAGTAGGATCACAATATTTGCCTAAGCTCAACCTGGCCGCTTCAAGGAGCAAAACTGGATAGTAGGATGTATCAAATTGTTCTTGGATATGCATGCTCCACCACACCATTATGAAATGTTTTTCTACCTCCCTTAGTATTCCTTCCATCCAAAAAATATAAGGGTTTTTAGATTGTTTAACAGAGTTTAATGTTAAGTTAAATTATTTAGATGCCACGAAAATCCCAAACCACCTTGCCTAATTTGATATTGATCACAGGTGATAGATCAGATGGAGTCTGTTGACAGATCGCTAGAAATGCTAGTGATCGAAGTCAACACCAAATTTGAGGTGGCCGACTGGAGGCCCAATTTTCATGTGGCCCAACCCAACAGGCCGTAAGACTATGCCCGTATTCAGCTTCTTAGCCCAATTAGGTCACGAGAATCCTTAAATTGAGGGGCTAAAATGAGGCCCCAAAATGTGCTCCTCGTCGACCTTCGCACATCCAAGTAGTTGTTCATCCTCATCAATCATGAACACCTTTTTAATTCATCCGTTGTTTCTAACACACACCATATGTGTCACATGCAATGATATTTTAGGGGGAAAAGAATAGAATAGAGTATTATAATAGAAGAAGGAAAAAAATGGCCCTGAACCTCGACGGCTTGACAGAGTTTAGATCGTCTCCGCACCGGTAGATAGGCGCATGGGCACTAGATAATTCTTGATGTAATGCCTAAGTTTAACATGGGGACGATGGGGCTCGAACCTCTACTACTGACAATAGGACCATAGGAGAGCCCCCATGAAGCTTCCACTAAACATTTTTGCCATACATAATGCAAAGTGATGGCTGTAGCATAGTGTAGTTTGTTCACATCCCCTACTATTTTTTCCTGGATCCGTTAGAGAGACTACCCAACCATATCTTACCAAACAACAGATTCTCCAACCAAGTAAGCACCAACTTTCCGCGACATGCTATCCTTCCCATTGTGCTTGGGCTAGGAGTCCAAGCCCAATGCCATGGCAATGTCACTAATAAAAAATGGTTTCTCTAGACAAGACATTCGATAGGTTGTAGATGGATCATAACTGGCTGCGTCTGCAAAAATCGATCTCCATTTTCGCATACAACTACTTAAGAGACCCATGCAAAAAATCGATATTTGCATGCAAAAATGCTCATTTTTACATGTGGCCCCTTAAGAGGAGGAGCTGGTTAGAAGTCTGACTTGCATATTCTTTGGCAACACTTCAAAAATTTTTAATTCATCCTTATCTTCTATATCTCTCTCACCGCTTCACCTCCTCTCCTTTCTTCAACTCATAAGCCAGCGGGTTGGCAGCACGGGAGCGGGTGGCAGTGGCAATGGCAGGCGGCAGCAGCAACGGCAGGCGGCAGTGGCTAGCGGCTGGTGGCTCAACCTCAGTCGATGGTAGCAGCGGACGGCTCGGCGGGGCCCCTCCCACCCGGGTTCAGCGGCCAGCGGCTCGGCAGGGCTCTTCCCGCTCGTATCCGGCAGCGGCGGCTGTCCATCGCCCGGCCCCGCACGAATCTGGCGGCGGTGGCGGGAGGAGCCCGGCCCCACACGGACTCAAAGACGGCAGACTTGGGAGCACCGGTAGTGGGCGGTAGTGGACGGATCCTCCTTCCCCGTTGGCGGGAGCGCACGGCACGACTTTGGCAGACGGCTCAGCAAGGCTCCTCCCGCCTGGATCCGGTGGCTGTCCCTTGCCCGGCCCTGCACGAATCTGGCTGCGGTGGCGATAGGAGCCCGGCCCCACACGGACTCGAAGACGGCAGACTCGGGAGCACCGGCATCGGGCAGTGGTGGACGGATCCTCCTTCCCCGATGGCGGGAGCGCACGGCACAATGCTGCCTGGCGCTGGCGGCGGGAGCGGACAGCGTGGATTTTTTTTGCGATTTTTTTATTTTTGCATGTGGCCCACATAAGCACCCGCATACGAAAATCGCTAATTTCGCCGACCTTCTCATGCAGACGGCCCGGCCAACCGCATATGAAAATTGGATCCAATCGTCTGCAAAATCTCTTTCTGTAGTAGTGTGTGCTTGTTTTTGTTGTTGGAAATAGTATGAGGTTTTAAATTTAGTTGATGCAAAAGTTCGTTATTTGCTCCATTGCATATTTGCACATATATATACCTAGACGAAACGGGCGTACTCTGAAAAAGGAAACCATAACAAGTGTTTTTCTTTCTGACATATACTTCAACTTTTGACCTTACTGCACCTGTTGTCTAGACACTAGAGATAATGCTGTTTATTTTGCGCTACTGCATTGATCTTCCTCTTACAAAACATGGCTTGCTTCATTCTTTACCGAATCGAGCTGGAGGAGACTACCGATCGGGCGCCCGATCAAGGTGTGCAAAAATTAGGCGCTGACGTCAGCATGATGTCAGCGCCATACATGCCTGCAAACCAAACTCTAAACTATTTTTTCTCTTAAATTATTTATCCAAATCATGATCCGATTGCACCATTAAATTCATTGCAATTAAATCTACAAAACAAGACCACATATGGATGTATTCTGACGAAAACTTTTTTTAGCTTATTATTGAATTATTTTTAAATGTTGCACATGTTCCACCAAGTATATCGGAATTGTTTCACTAAGTAGATCGAAAATGTTTCAATCGTTTAAATCGGGTGTTGTTTCACCTTGTATAAAACAATGTTTCAGCAAATAGCGAAATAATATTTCAGTTCACTGCAACATTAGATATATACATAGTGAAACATTGTGGGTATAGTAGGTGAAACATTTTTAGTGGAACAAAAATAAAACGAATTTCCTTAATAGAGGGTTTCCATAATATATGGGTGATTTATTGCAATGGACTATTTCTGTTCGTTGCAACATTAGATATATATATAGTGAAATATTGCGAGTGCACTAGATAAAATATTTTTTGTGGAAAAAAAAACGAATTCTCTTAATACAGGTTTCCAAAATATGTAAGTGATTTGTTGCAATGGAGTATGTGGTAGAGATAAGTGGCAGGTAGGGACAGAGACTATGGTGGGGCCCATGCAGCATGCACGCGCGTGGGGGCGGCGGCGGGGGGGGGGGGGGGGGGGCCAATTTTTGCTCCCCCCACCGATGGCCCGATCCCAGGCATTATCCAATCGAGCTAATTAATCTTTTTCAGCGAACTAATTAATTTATTATTTATTAATTACCTTAAACAAGGTGGTCAAAGCGTTATTCCAACTTCCCAACACTGAGCAGTCCAGCGTGTGCAAATACTGTGGCTTATTAGGTGCGTTGGCGAAATGATGCAGCAAAGGCGATGCTGAACTACAGCGAGCGACACCGCATCCTTTCATCAGACCTAATTAGCGGGGAAGAAGTGCTCTTCGTGTTGTCGAAATGCGCTTTGTAAATCACACAACCATTCTGAGCTGATGGCCAGTGAGCTCCCACATCCCTGCATGCGAGAAATGTCCAGACAGTGAGATATTGATCAATTATGCACCTCCATAGGTGATGTTAAAACTAATAATACTTTCGAGGAACTTGATATGAAGTGCATGCCCGTATACCTTCCGTATCAGACTATGAGAATGTGTCCCGGTGCCTTCCATTCTCAGCAGTATTCATCACCATGTGTTTGAATTAACTCGTGGAGTCGTTTTTCTATCAATCGTTCCATACTTCATTCTTTGAGATTGGTATTTTCTCTCTTTATCTTGTGATACTCATTTATAACCTTAATGTGATTTGGAGTGGTGATATAGTATGAGGCGAGGCCCAAGAGATTTCAGATGACGGCTTCTTTGATGGGTGAAGATGAGATATGTATTGGCGGTGCTATAGGGTGGTTAAAATGTTTGAATGTGAACTTTTTGTTTCTCGTGTGTACTTTTACACTTAGTCATATGCTCCTTGGCCTTTTTAAAAGTTATGCATCCTATTTTCCCAACTTTTAGGGTGCATTTGGGAGGGCATAAGGCCATCAGCAATGCGTGTTTCTAGCCCGTGCCCTCGTAAACAGTGTGCTCCTTCCGTCACCGGGCCGTGCCCCAGGCGAGAGGCACAACCCCCACGCGGGAGATGGGTGGCTTTGGCTCTGTCGAGAAGTGACCCTCTCTAGCGGGTGGTCGTGAGACCCCTCTTTGTAAGTTCAGCCGGGGGAAAAGGAGCGCTGATCAAGAGCGTATATACGCCTAGAGTGCTCAGAGTCTACGTGTGAGACTGGGGATTATACAGGTTCGGGCCGCTTAGAAGCGTAACAACCTACTCCTGTGCTTGGGATTATAGTTGGCTTTTACAGAGTTTCTTGAGCTCCTTGGAGAACCTAGCTGTTCTTCCTCAGGCTCAAGTGGTCGAGAGTCGTCCCCTTTTTTCGGTGGGCAAGGTCCTCTTTTTATAGTTCAAGGGGATACCACATGCACCGCCTCTACCTACTCCTTCATGAAAGGGGGGACCCACACCGCCTGGAACGGACTGCCATTCGTGCCTTCGCCTAGAAGCTAAGCAGCCGTCCGTCCTTGAGTGGGGCCCAGCGCCATCCCCCGCCTGACACGGGGGACACCCCTGTCATTCCCCTTTAAATGAATGGAGACTTTTGGTGGTTCACCTCACGTGGAGGGAGCTCCTGACGATGCATCGATGGGACGGAGCATACCTGCCCCTACTCCACCGAGCACAGGGCGGAACGTGGGGGCACCGTTGCCCGTCCAATCGGACGTGACCGGTCACAGGCCAGTCACAATCCGGTCATGCCCGATTGACGTGGGTCATTCAGGCGGTGCCGCGCGTCCGCCCTCATCGCATTAAACGCAGCGAGGGACGGTTGGGACGTCGCGCATTAATGGCGCTCAGCCTCACCCTTCGCCCTACTCACTTTCCCCGCCACGTGGTGGCCGGGCGAGGGCCTCGGGGTGAGGCACCCCGAGGGCCTAAGGGGTGTGATGTGGCACCCCGAGGCCCCCTAGTTGCCTCAGCGTCGTCCGGGGAGCGTGGGGGGGGGGGTGGGCGAGGCTTCATGGTCGCGTGGCTAGACGGGAAGGAGATTTTCCTTATGTTCGCATACCCCCGTGCCCATATCACCGACAGTAGCCCCCGGCATCGCGTCAGACAGCGGTCCTCTCAGGGCGGTCTGGCGTGGTGCCTCATGACTTCCCGTGCCGTGATGGTGGGTCCCGCTGGGATTCCAAACAGCCGCCGTCGGCTGGCCCGGCTCGAGCGCCAGCCATGACGATGGCTTGGCCGCTATTAACTGCGCCACTCACGGGGGCGCTTAATTCGGGAAAATCGAGGGGTCTGCCAGATCACTCCCATAATTATCACCTAACATCACCTCGACTCCCCCGCTGTCAGGCATGCGATGGGACCGACGGCATGCCCGCCTAGCCACGACCGTGGTCATCGCATGCCCCGCGCCGAGCGCGCGACTGACAGGCGCATTAAGCACGGGGCACGGGTTTAGTGGGGCGAACGGGGCGAGTGGGCGCGAGAATCGACGAGGCAACTGCAGTGGCGAGAAACAAGGAGGCGGGCGCGGGCGAGGCGAGGATAAAAAGGAGGGGAGATGGAGAATTCGTCTCCTTCCTTTCGCCGATTTCACGCTCGCATACTCGCTCCTCAGCCCCCAACGCATCTCTCCCTCCACCGTGCTCCGCGCACCAAGCTCCTCGCCGACTCCCGCCGGCTATCATGGCTCAAGACGCTGGCAACGCCGTTCTCCCAACAGCGCGCATTACGGCAGAGAGGCATCTTAGCCTCATCCGCAAGATCATGCCGGAAGACGCCGTTGTGAGGGGAGGGGAAACGCGGCCGCGGCCGCGGTACGGCCGCGGTACCCAGAGCGGTCCGTGCACCTTCTGTCCTTTGCCATTGCGGGGTTGATCCCGCCCTTCTCTATGTTCTTCTTCGACGTCTTGGATTTCTACGAGATCCATGTCTTGCATCTCGCTCCCAATGCCGTGATGACCCTGGCCATCTTCGCACACCTGTGCAAGATGTTCGTCGGGGTACGGCCGACGATGCGACTATTCCAGTTCTTCTTCGTTCCACAGCTGCTGCAAGGCGCGGTGGTGGGAGGATGATATTTCCAACCCCGGCCAGGTGTGGTGGGGCACTACATCGAGAGCCACCGCCGCAAAAAGTGGGAGGACTGGAAGAAGGACTGGTTCTACACCGCACTGCCGGACCACCAGCGCCTCCGGCACCCCGCCAGTCCTCCCAAGTGATCTACGGGCTGGCTGGCGGTCTCGGAGCTGGGGGAGGAGTACGACGCGGAGCGGGACCGCCTCAGGGGCCTACGAAGCCGGGGCCTAATGGCGGCAATGGTGTTCAAAGATTATTTCTGCCGTCACATCGCGCCTCTCCAGGAGCGGTCCCGCGGCGCATGGGAGTACACCGGGTACAATGACCCCATGCGCACCCATGTGGGCGAGCGCTGGGACTGGAGCGAGGAGGACGCGAAGACGGTTGTTCGGCGGGTGCTGGGCCTGGACACCATCGAGCATACGCTAATTCCGGATGGGATTCTCCCTCTCTGCAGCGACCGCGACCGGGAGAATATCCTGGCTGTGATGATGGCTGTCGGTGCTGGAGGAGGTCGGCCCCGCCAGGGCGCCGTTGGTGGCGGTGGCGGCGACGGCGCAGGTAGCAGTAGTGCGACCGCGGGCGGCGGCCGGACCGGCGGCTCCGGCGGGGGCAGCGGCTCCAGGATGCCTGGTCCGGGCTGTGGGCCTAGGGGAGACTCGGTCGTCGACCCGAAGGGGAAGCGGAAGATGTCCGAGTCTCGGCTGCCCTCAAACCCCCCACCCCCCGCGCGCGCGGGTGAGGTGCCGAGCAAACAGTTGACCGACCACCAGTGGGCCATAAACGCCCCGCCATGTCTAAGGTGGGGCGGAAGAAGAAGCGGCCCCGGAAGATAGGGCAGACAGAGCCATGTAGGGGGAGCTTCATCGAGCCTTCGAACTGGACCTTCAGACGCCCCCTTCGCAGGTACAGTCATCAATGTCCGGTCCGGTGCTTTCCATGCCCTTTGGCTTCTTGCTTCCTCCTCTTCTTTTCTTTCTTAACGCAAATGGGGTTCTCCTGCAGCGAGATTCCCTCCCAAGGGGCCTCAGCGACCGAACCCCCCCGGGGGTCGAAGCCTGAGCGACCGGGACGGCCAGGAGCTGGCCGATCCAGGGCTGCGGAGCCTTCACACCCCCCAGCGGGGCCCGCGGGCCACACGCCAGGTCCGGCTCTGAGTCCACCACAGCCGAGACCGCCCCCTCGAGGGAGGAGAGGGTGCAATTCGCCGTCGGCGATAGTGGCACCGAAGCCCCCCTCAGGGGCGATCCCGCGGGCGCAACTAACAGGGAGCGCCGCACGGGAGCGGAGGCCGAGGCGGAACGTGGCCCGGAGGCCGAGGTGGAGTGCGGCCTAGGGACCGAGGCAGGGTGCGGGCCCGAGCCCGAGGCCGAGGCTGAATCGGCCCGGGGGCCCGAGGCGTAGGGCGACGGCGGCAACCGTTCTCCTCTACACCTGGGGCACACTCGGGGCCGGCCACGCGGAAGGGGGACCAAGCGCAGCCCCCAGTCTCGCGGAGGGTCCAGCCGCACTCCGTCGTCCCGGGGGCGGACCACGACCTTTTCTTCCCCGAGTCCGGCGAGTATGGAGCCGTTCTTGCAGGTGCTCGCCGCCGCCGACTCCACCGTCCGGGAGGGGCTCAACGCCCAAGTCCAAGCCCTGGCGGACGAGCGAGCGGCCGTGGAGGCAGAATGGGCGTAGCTCGCGGCGGACCGCGCGCCAGTGGATGAGGGGCGCCGCGCCGTGGAGGGCTTGGTGGAGACGGGGCGCAAAATGCACCAAGCCCGGCTGGCGGAGATCCAGGCGCACGAGGAGACGCTGGACTCGGTCATGCGGGAGACGGAGGAGGAACGGCAGGTGGCTCTCATCGCCTCAAGCGCCTTAGATGAGGCGTTGGGCGACATCCGCCTTGTCACACCCTAAAAATCCTAAATATATAAATTGTTGTTTAATTGGAATTATTAGAAATGAATTTAAAAGCCTAGAAGAGAAGATCTAATTTTAAATAATAAATTCCAATATAAAATTGGGCAAGATAAAATTTTATTAAATACTTTGCTTGATTCTATAGTTCCTAGATTTTTCTGGGATTTATTTGAGACAAGGAAGTATTTTTAATAAATAGAATTGCATTTCATGAATAATTTAAATTGGAAAAGTTTTAAAAAGTCTTCTTTTGGCTTTGGGCCGAAAGTCGGCCCAAACCCCTCTCTCTCTCCTCCCCGGCCCAGGTCAGCCCACAGCTGAGCGCCGCCCGCGTGAGCGCGTCCCGCTCGCTGACAGGTGGGGCCCGCCTGTCAGTCTTCATCTACCTCCAGCCGCCGCCGCAGCCGAACCCTAACCGAGCCGCGCCGCCGTCTCCTTCCAAATTCGTTCGTCCCTTTCCGATCCGGTGAAATTGATAGAGGGGAAATGATCCCCGAGATCCACTCTACCTTTTCTCTTTTGGAATCGTCGGCTAAAATCGTTTGGAAATCCATGGATTCGATCTCGAATCGGATTCGTCTCTCTCCCCGAACCCTAGACTTTCCTTCGCGCCGCCGGCCGCCATGGGCCTTCGCCGTCGCCCCCTAGCCGCTATAAAAGGACGCCCGGTGTCTCCTCTACCCGCTGCCACCCTCGTCTTTGTCTCTCGCCGCCGGTAGAGCTCTAGCGCCGTGTAGCCTAGCGCCGCCGTCGCCGCAGTTCGTCCAGCCGTGCGCCGTTGCCGCTCCGGTCGTCGTCGTCGCGCGGGAAGGCCGCCGTCGTGATCGTCAAGTCGTCACCGACCT